GGGGCGGGGTCTCCCTCCCCCGGTGTGTGGTGAAGGGTGGTTGGTGGTGAGGGGAAAAGCAGCTGTTACATACCCTCCGAGCGCAGGCGAGGAACCCTGAATGGAGGGGAACTCCCCCCGGGGCGGATTGGCCCCCGCAGGACCTATCGTCACGGCCGGGCCGCCCACCGGAGGGCGACGGTGGGGGGGGGCTTGAAGGGGAGGCCTCTCACCGTGGAAGGCGGGAGGGAGCTGACCCTGCCTCCACCGGGGTGGGCGAGCGCTGCTCGGTCCCCTCTGCCGCCGCTAAAACACCAGCTAGAGGTGGGGCAGGGGGGGTTTAAATGTTTTCTTTGGTTGGGGTGTTTTTTAATTATTTTTTTGTTTTTCCCTCCCTTACAAAGTTGTGGAGGGAGTTGCTGGCTTTCCCCCTCGGCTGCAGGCACCCCCTGAGTGCTTTTGAGGTCAAGGCTGGAGGAGCCAGGCCTGCTGGTCATCCAGAGCGCACGCAGGAGGGGGAAAAACATAACACACGCGCCCCAAACTTCTATTAAAATACGTATTTCTAGCACGTCCACTCAAACAAAGTCTGAACCTCTTGGGTTTGGGGTTTTTTTCTGTCTTTCCGGCTGCTTTTCCTTTTCTCAGCTCTGCTGCCATGAGGCCAGGACACGCAGACACAGCAGAGGGGGAGCTCTTTGGTTGGGAGCTGCAGCTCGGTTTGGCTGCTAAGAGCTCTCTGGCCAGGGGCACTTGAACCTGCACAGGCTGCTGTGCCGCTGGGGATGAGGCCAGAGCTTAGGAAGCTGGTGGCAAGGAAGCAAGGAGGGCTGGGAAATGAAGCGCTCCGCAACCAGGCTGTTTCCAAACTCCCAGGGCTCAACATGCGCTGGGAAAGTAACAAGCACTAAAGTAATCGTAATTAGTGAGGTGGTGTGCACGCAGCCAAGAAACCCAGAAAGCCAAACGAGACAGGTGGGCGCAGGGATGGTATAGCCATTTTGGGGGTTCCCTGCAATGGCTTTGAATCCCATGTGAAGTGGCCATTTCCACAGAAATCCACATTTCTGCTGCCAAGCGGGACCTGTGGGCACAGGGAGGAAGAGTGACTGGAACAGAACTTCATGTTGTGCAAAAGCACTAAGAACACTGGCTTTGAGAAGAAATGCAAGCCTGGAAATAATACGGGGGGAGTGATAGTTTGGGTTGTTTTCCCATGGAAAACACTTAAAATCCTTCCCTCTGCCTCTGGTACAGATGGAATCTTCATCCCTCCTCGAAGGACGCTTGGCAGCACCTGCAGCTTTTGGGTCCAGACCCGACACCCTCCTGAAAGCCCCACTGAGCCAAGGAGAGCCGCTGCTGACAGCACAGCCTTGAAAACAAGCCACAAACACCCCCTTTCTGCCCGTGTGCCAACAAGAAAGCCTAGCTGGGGTGAAGAACATGTTTGGCAGCAAGGAAGGAGGGCCCGAGGATCCTTCCTCCTGAGGATGAGGAGGTCCCTCGGATGCTGGAGCCATCCTGCAGTGGGCACAGGGAGGGGGAACTGGAAGACAGCTGGAGAAGCCAAGCTGCAGGTTAGACTGCGTGGGCTGATGCTGCTCGAAGAGCACAGCAGGGCAGAAAATAGTACCTAGAAGAACGGGACACTTCAGCTGAAACAAAACGGCTCCGCAAGCATGACATTCACAGCTCCAGGGATGCTCAAAACCTCTCGCAGAGCCACAGCCGCTGGGGTACGCATCCCTGGGAGATGGATGCCCTGCTGCCTCCTCTTCTTTTCCAGCCACCCAGCTCATGCGTTTGGCCGTGATTCGGCACGGTCAAGCCTGTCCACTCCTCGAGCGTAGGGAAAACCTTCTCCCTCTGCCAGTCCCAGAAAGGCGCTGGCCTCCTTGGCTTTTTGAGACTCCAGCTGAACAAACACATGTGCTGCTCTTCCCACCCGCCGGCGGTTCCTCTCACCCAGGAGCCTCGCTGGGGGACGGCTGCTCTGCTCTGGGGCGCGTGCTCTCCCGCTGGCTCTAGGGCTTGATTCGCACCAAGCCGCCTCTTCCCGCCTTCCGAAGCCTCAGGCT